TGTTGTTGTTGTTGCTGCTGCTGTTGATGCATTACATCCGTCATATTGGCCGCGGAGTCCGGACTAACTTTGGGCCAGTAGGAATGTTCGCTAGGCGCTATGGATACCGGCGGCAAACCCAGACTCTGGCGATTATGTGCATTCGCATTCGACAAGCTACTCGCACTCGTGCTTACTCCACCCACGCCAGCAACACCGCTTGCTAAATTACCGACATTGGCATTGCCACCTGTCGCACTGTTGTTGGCTAAGCTGTTGGCGTTGCCGCCTATACCCGCAACCGTACTCGCGCCGCCCGCAGCAACACTCGCATTCATGGCCGTTATTGGCGGCCGCTTATCGGTGCGTTCCGCATGCTTCTGCATATGCTTGGTGAGATATGTCTCCTGTGTGTAGGATTTGCCGCAATACTGACAGATGTGCGTCTTCAGGTGCTTGGACTCCTTGTGCTTGGGAATGTGATCGAGCAGCGATGGCTCGTCCGAGAAACATTTGTAGCAGGAGTTGCATTTGAATGGCTTGTCCGTTTGGTGGCAGCGCGAATGCGATTGCAGATTGGAGAGTTGCGAGAAGGCTTTCTGGCAGCCGGGATGTCGACACTTGTACGGCTTGTCGCCGGTGTGGGTGCGAATGTGTTGTTGCAGATGTGACAGTTGGGTGAATTTGCGTTGGCAGATCTCACAGCGATACGGCTTGATGCCCAGGTGGATGCGGGTGTGCTGCGACAGGTAGGATGAGTTGGCAAACGCTTTGGAGCACTGCGTACACTTGTACGGCTTAGCTTCGCGCATATGAATTTGCGTGTGCAGCTGTAGGTCCGCTTTCGAGCTGAAAATCTGAAAATGCATAGGAAATGAAAGATTAACGACTAGTTATATGTATCTTTTTATGTAAAGTTTGTGGGGATAATACAAAGTTTATAATATAAACAACACCGAGCCAAATGTATTTCAGAAAACCAAAAAATCATTTCCCCCTTCCACTAATTCAATAAACCAGTCATAAACATGGCGCGGTTTTATTTAGATATGTAAGTATGGACATTAGGGTGGTCCTTAATGTGGAAGCAAATTTGTAAAATTTCCTAAGCCTCAATCTCTACATCGATGCTACCATAGTTAGTCGAAGATATCACATATAAATTTTGGCCCCGTTTGAAGTCGGTTATGGCGTGTCGCACAGGGGCCAAAGTTCAGATCTGCAGTAGACATAGTTTATTTCACTTACTGTATTATTTGTTTCATGTACTGCCGTCGCCTCCCTACCACTACCAGTCCGTCCGTAGCTGGAACGCCCATATTAGTTTTAACATAACTTTTTACCTAAACCCAATCATTCTCAATAGGGTTCCCAATATAAGTACAAGTGTGGCCCTAGGCGAATTACACTCATTACCAAGTGTACATTCAGTACTCTTGACATACATTTACCCTCCTCTGAATAGTTGCAAGACCATACATACAAGGAGATTACGCACGCTTGGCAAACCAATTAATGGAATCCTTGCAGAGATCTCACAGGTGGAAATATGACCCTCGTCAAAGCTCATGACATCGAAAAAGATTAGTTTAAAATAAGATCGTATCACAGCGCTATTACTCTTGACCTATATGTGGGGAGGGTTAGCTAGGTTATTGTGGCAGACTCACAAGGGGACTTACTTAGGCTTTCAACTGTCCATTGTGTTACCAAATTCTACACAAATTCTTGGAACCGTAACTGTGTTAAACTAAGAGAAGCGCTGGGTGCTCACAACAAAGTTCCGCAGGCAGCTAGTGTCCTCTCCGGAGCGCCCCTGTTGATGTTGAGTGCTGATGAAATGGACTCAGAGGTGCTTAAACCTTAATCTAGCNAAGGATCCTTTTCAGGCCAGCCTCGGAAGACTCCGATCCATTTCTTCCGGCAAGATAACGAATCTTTCGAGAGACCAGAGTTTCTGTGCCTAATGGCTGACCGAACCACGAGGAGGGTTCTGACAATCACCTCGCTAAATATGTGTCGCCAAAATTCTCTAATCGAAACACTTTGGATCTAAAAGTATGCAACATAGAAATGTAATGCATATGTAATGTGTAATCATCCAAATCGGGCAGTACAAGGGGCATATAGCCAGATGTTGCATGTTGTTAGGCGCACCTGCTATTCTTTTGGATATTTTTGGCGATCAACATTAGCGCTTGCTAATAAATAATTTTTTAGTTAACAAGCCATTTTTGGTCTTCAAAACTTTTTGATTTGATAAATATTTTACGATCCTATATGATAACCCGATAGTGATATACGGTAGTATTTCTAGATTTTAAAAGTCTTAAATATCTATGAACCAACATTGCTTTGTTTGTGTACCAGTTTAGTGCTTAAATAACTTAGTGAGAGATAGAGTATATTCATAAAAAAAAATATTTATTGGATCAAAAAAGTAGTGGATAGGCACTGTGGCCAATGCTAATCATCTATTACCACCTCTGCATGGTGGTAAGACATGCAGAGTCCACAAAAAGTTCCGGAAGCATTGCCCGGAGGATGCATTAGGATAGGCCGAACATACTTTGAAGTACCATCAAATTATAACTTAAACATTTCATAAATTTAATGAAGTAAACTTTGGCACATGCAGCAGTACATTGCATGCATTTAGGCGATTGGTGTTAGTAAACATTGCTGTTTTCTTAGCTTTTAAATTTTATCCGCCTTTAAACAACTTTGTTCAGAAAAAATTTTGTATTTAAATGACAGGTAAATTTTAAACCCAGCTCGACATAACGGTCCTTAGTATTATAATAAAACCATAAATATATATTTTTGTTGAAAAGATCCCCTCAACATTTAGGAAATTAATCCACTAATCAATAAAAATAGAACATTTCTGAAACTACAACTACCTTCGTATCCTTAATGTCCATATGCCGTGGAGAACTGGTTGTTGAGCCAACACTGCCGCCACCGCCGCCGCCACCAACATCACTAACAGTGCCGATGTGATGATGACGTCCGGCAGCGGCGTGATGATGATCCACACTGTTGCTGGTCACGATGATGTGCTGATTCGGATTTGGATAGATACGCGCTTTACGACCACGTCCACCACCACCACCGCCGCCAGGGCCACTAGGAACTGTGGTATTTGCACCAGCGCCGTTGCTCGTAGTGGCGCCATTCGGCACCGTCGAACTGACAACGGCATTCGAGTCGATTGCCACTTTAACCGGAATTGCAGGATTGTTATTGTTGTTGGCAACCGCTATAGCGTTCGATGGTGCTACACCTGTGGTGGTGCTAACTTTCTGCTGTTGTTGTTGCTGCTGCTGCTGGGCATGTAAATCGCCAGCGCTGGCATTGCTCGCACCATTAGCCGCCGCAAGTTGTCCATACTGTGTGGTCAGCTGTTGTTGTTGTTGCTGTTGCTGTTGTTGTTGATGGCTGGCATGTGGTGGGCCATGTTGCGGTTGCGTGGCTTGTTGCTGCTGCNCGAACTGACAACGGCATTCGAGTCGATTGCCACTTTAACCGGAATTGCAGGATTGTTATTGTTGTTGGCAACCGCTATAGCGTTCGATGGTGCTACACCTGTGGTGGTGCTAACTTTCTGCTGTTGTTGTTGCTGCTGCTGCTGGGCATGTAAATCGCCAGCGCTGGCATTGCTCGCACCATTAGCCGCCGCAAGTTGTCCATACTGTGTGGTCAGCTGTTGTTGTTGTTGCTGTTGTTGTTGCTGTTGCTGTTGTTGTTGATGGCTGGCATGTGGTGGGCCATGTTGCGGTTGCGTGGCTTGTTGCTGCTGCTGCTGCTGCTGCTGCTGACTGTAGGACAAAACCGACGAGCGCAGATCGGCGGAGGAATTCGAAAAAACACTCAACGGTCCGAGTGCGACGCGCTCATTTAAACTGTTGCGCAATTGATCGATGGAACGATGGACGGCATGCGAGTAGTCGCCACCAGCTGGCGGTATTTCGCCGATTAGTGGCGAATTGTGGTGGTAGTCGAGGCCGCCACCAATAGGGCGGTACTCGATGAGACGGCCCTCCATTGCGGACGATTTTCTGTGGTTTTCACTTTATTCCTATTTGAGTGTATTATTGTTTTTTTTTTGTCTTGTAAATCAGTTAGTTTGTTATTTTAAATAGCACTTTTAGCATTTATTAGCTTTTTATAAATTTTTATTGCTCTCTTTAGGNGTTTTCACTTTATTCCTATTTGAGTGTATTATTGTTTTTTTTTTTTTTGTCTTGTAAATCAGTTAGTTTGTTTTTTTAAATAGCACTTTTAGCATTTATTAGCTTTTTATAAATTTTTATTGCTCTCTTTAGGATTTTTTTTTGTATGTATGTATGTATGTAGGAATGTACCTAAAATTTTTATTGTTGAAATGTTGTGGACTGTGGACTAACTATGGCTGAAAACAATCGCACACAAACTCGTACGCACACATACACATATAGAGCATTCACATATTGGCGAATAAAAATTTCTTAAAGTTTGCGGCTGCCAAATATTTTTAGCCGTCGTCGATTCGCCAATACGCTGCTTGCTATGTTTCAGTTCCGGTCGCTTAACGAAAAATTTTGCATGTGAAAGCAACAACAAAGTTAGCTAGGAAAGATGAAAGATAGCGAGTTTGGGTGTACCTCATTGAGTTCATTCGTCCGCTACTCGCTAACTGTTGGGGAATCGATGACTGCTTTTNGAAAAATTTTGCATGTGAAAGCAACAACAAAGTTAGCTAGCAAAGATGAAAGATAGCGAGTTTGGGTGTACCTCATTGAGTTCATTCGTCCGCTACTCGCTAACTGTTGGGGAATCGATTACTGCTTTGGTTTTATATGCACATTAGGGTTGTCCAAAAACGCATAGGAGAATTAACTTTTTGGAATTTTCGTGGTGCCATACCCCGGAACTGAAGAATATCCAAAAAATTTAACCTCTTGCACCTGTTAGCAAGATTTATTCTTCGCTTTATTTCCAGGCTGACATTATTGGTGGTCTCTAAACTGTATTCTAGGTAGACAACGTCCTACACTACTTCAAATTTAGACCTGTAAACAGTGAAGAGGCTTCCAAAACGCGAACGCACGAAAGTGAAAAGCCTTGCCAAAGCCTCGTTTGGTCTCAAACGACGCAGAGGAGTTCTTCCCAATTTGAACTGACGAGAGCTATGCCCAACTGGCCAACGAAAGCACTCAGCTATACTACCTCTAGTCATACTTATTGAAAATGAGGCTCGCAGGAGCGATATGCGACTTGGCTACTTAGCGAGCATAAGGGGTTGAGACCTTAAAGTGAACTTAGCAGTTTCAAAACCAATCCTTGATGATCGCGTCATTAAACTCACAGGCAAACTGAAAGGTGCACTTGCAGAGAACAAATTATAACGATTGGCAAGGGCACTAAGCTCGAGAATACATACNGTGGTCTCTAAACTGTATTCTAGGTAGACAACGTCCTACACTACTTCAAAGTTAGACCTGTAAACAGTGAAGAGGGTTCCAAAACGCGAACGCACGAAAGTGAAAAGCCTTGCCAAAGCCTCGTGTGGTCTCAAACGACGCAGAGGAGTTCTTCCCAATTTGAACTGACGAGAGCTATGCCCACCTGGCCAACGAAAGCACTCAGCTATACTACCTCTAGTCATACTAATTGAAAATGAGGCTCGCAGGAGCGATATGCGACTTCGCTACTTAGCGAGCATAAGGGGTTGAGACCTTAAGGTGAACTTAGCAGTTTCAAAACCAATCCTTGATGATCGCGTCATTAAACTCACAGACAAACTGAAAGGTGCACTTGCAGAGAACAAATTATAACGATTGGCAAGGGCACTAAGCTCGAGGATACATATCCAACTACATATATTTCAAGCGGACATCTTGAAGAACTAATGGCACCAATATAAATGTACGTACCATACACTCTAACAAATTTTTTGTTTAAATTTGCGCATATTAAGATAGGTAACCAGTTTCCT